TGCACTGGGTACATTCCTCTTCTCTTGAGGTCCCCAAGCACCTTTCAATTTCTGGACCCGACAGCAAGCGACCTTCGTTACTTACCACAGATCAGGAAAGGTTACTGATGGGTATCTGGCCAGTTTTCCCAAGGGCTTTCTTTATTGGCTTTATAAAGACAACCTTAATTCCTTAATGCAGTCTGAACACCTCTGGAAATGCTATTTCCAGCCAAAGCCTTGGTAAAATACCAGTGCCTCCCTCATGCCCTATAGAACAAAACAGATTCTTATTGAACTTATGCAAATAACTGTATTTTCAGAAAATAGTATTTACTAATGACTTTCAAATTCCAGAGAAATCAAGGAGAGAGAAAAATACATGTTTCAAACTCTGCTCATAAGTGCATACATTGCTTGAAAAGCTACAAATAGCTCAAAAGACAGAGAATTCTTTTCTTGACTTCTGGAAAACAACACAGAAAGAACCAACAATATTTCAAACAAGAAGCCATAACAAACTAGCCTACTTTCACATAACTGATTTTTGTTCTGTTTGAAGTTAGGTTAGCAACATTCATAGACATTTTAACTTTCCAATAAAAGTTCTAAAAATCTGCTTTTAGCCCAAAAGTATTCAATTTCTAAAGACATTAGGAATTTGAATTCAAGAGAATTCATCAGCCTCTCTTAATATTTCTTTTTCTTTTTTAGATGAATTAAAATTATTACTGACAATATATGTTAGAACAGACCAATATTTTATAATATTGGAACACATATATATATAACTATAACTCATACAAAATTAATCACCATTTTATATTTGACAATGTTTCCTATACATTTTTAATAAATCAAACAAGTTCAATTTGTTTTTCTATGCCTTTCAGTGGTTTTAATATTTCAAAAAGACCAAATATAGAGTTGTGCTTTTTGTTTTCTGGACCGAGTTCAAACCTGCCAACCTCGGTGCATGTGGCCAGCACTGCAACCACTACACTGTGGGCGCCACGCCCAAATTTAGACTTTTGATTTGGGGAGGTTTGTCAAATATCAAAAGGCCTAAAACATTGGTTCAAATAAGATTATATGCTGAAAGATTTTAAAGGGAAATGCATAGTCAACTGGATCACATGTAAATTCTTTCACAAATTCTTTTTTCATTTAGCCTGCACAGACAATCTATAAACATTCTAAACTTTCTTTAACTTTTGTCCTGCCTTTCACTTTCTCTCTTTTTTGTTTTTTTTTTTT